GCTGACACCACCACAATAAACACGACCCATCACCCACCAAGCTTTTTGCCGGGCAAAGAGTAGATATAATGAAAAGCAACTCTTTTTTATATATATTTTACTGTGAATATCTACTGCAGGTAAAGCATGAACTTGGGCCTTTTCTTTCCCTGACATCCCCCAGCAGCAATTCAGCCTAACAAGGCACAGCAGCACAGTAGGAGCGGCACAATGTTTTAGCTTAAGTAATGTCAAGTTAAATTCTGTAAAAAATCAGCCAAAAGAGATGTGTCTATTTTCATTCCTCCGTTTGCAATCAAGGCATAGTGATACGCATGCTTATTGCCAGCATGATTTACAGTCGTTTGCACTGATATGACACTGTTGGGGAAACTGAACCATTCAGCCAAATAAACTTACTTACAGGCAAAACAAACAGACAACCTCTCCTTGTGCCTTTACCTAATTATTCCTTCTTCTAAAGTCCTAATGAACTCCATGTGATAGATGTTTATGGCTGCTGCAGATAGTTTATTTGGATTTTTTGTGTGCTTGAATGCTCGTCAATGAAATTCAACGTGAGAAAAGGAAAAACTTCTAAGTAAACCACTGAAGATATCGGCATGAGAGGACAATGTCCCTCTAATCCTTCTAGTACTTCCTGAATAATTCATGAACTGTCCGAGTGTAACTGCAGTTTTAGAAATCATTACTTTATAGTAATTGATGACCTAAAGGGCCTTGTCTCACACTATTAGCCAGGTGAATTAAAACACCCTTGCTACCTTACGTACTCCAGCATTTAGGACCACATTTCTTTCCTCATTACCTTTGTGTCCCACAACGAAAAAATTGTGTGCATAAAGGCAGATATGCATGTAACCACAGCCAATTTCACTCCTACATTAACACAATACAGTGTGCTAAGTTGACAATTACTTGTAGGAAATGCGGTTTCTTCCTTTTCTTTTTTCCTTTTTTGATGCGAAAGTTGGCGCTCGTTTACAAAGCAGGAGTTGCAGCTACGGTAACTGCACGAGTGGACCCAAGATATGTTCTCCCCTGCCGATGCAAATACAGACATTTTGGCACAGAACTCCTTGCATTATTCAGGTCTATCTATAGAAGAGATTAAATGCATAAAGAAGTGCATGGAAGTGCACTGCTGTTTCAAATGTGGAAACCTCGAATCATACTGAGGGTGGGGGTGGGGGGATTTCCTGTTTCTTCCTTCCTTCTTAAGGACTCGTCATTCAGTGAGCTGCGCATGCTCCTCCTCAGATAGGTTTATTACTCGAGGCAACACATGGGATTAATAATGCATGTTTTTTGACACGATAAAACAAGAAGGTGCAGAATCAGAGAGCCGTCTATAAATTTAAGATGTACTTTTTACATTGATTCTCTCATACTAGACTAAATCACTACAATGGGGACATCTGGAGGAATGGTAATTAGACATTATGTGAACTGTTGTACATGTTTTATCGCGGTGATCTCAGAAAGTGTAGGTTTTACTTTCACTGCTGATATTCTGAATGGATTGCTTGCTTTTCTCAGATAATGCACGCACCTCAACACTCAGCAGATCGTTTCTTAAGATATTGTAAAGTATGCTTTTTGGTGTAGCTCTGTGTTTTGAGTAACTCCTCTTCCTTAGGGGAAGGATTTATACACAGCACAATGCCAGAACCAGGCAAAGGACTGACAGCCTTAGAAATGGGAATGTCAGATAACTGGCTGAGGTTTTTATGCCAGTTTTCTGGTTGCATTGAGTTCTGTTGTTTTGGCCGGGGAATACTGAGGCCGTAGAGAGATTCAATACAGACATTTTGTTGATCATAGATGGTCGGGTTGACATTTTGACACTACTTGTACAAGTTTTGTCTATTTCTATCACTGTCTTGTCAGCTGAAATGAGAAATATACTGAAATATGAGGTGATCCGTTAACGGTTGGGTAACCACGAGTGAAGGTCTGTCAATTAGTCGTCAGACTACGGAGTGTCATTAAATAGTCAATGTACTAAAAACTGAAAGATCTATATGATTGATTTCTGCATGCTATGCAATTATAACTGGCATTAAGTGTGTTTTAGGGTAAAGTGTTTCTGATAAGTAGGTGACATTAAAGACATGAGCTAAAGTCAGATTTTTGAGAATTCTTTTGACATGAACTCAAACTAAAAATAAACACAAATACCCAAAATGACTGGTGTCAGAATAATGTTCCCACATTACTCTGTGGTCTCCTGGAGAATGAGACTAAGCATCCCCACATAATTTGACTTCATGTCTGCAATTTATGAAGCAAAGGATGGGAGGAAGGCGCACTGACTGAAATTACATGCCATGCTACAAAAACGGGGCCAGCATAGGTTGCCAATGAAATCACTGTATTCACCTTACATCATTTGACAGCAACAAAATGGCGACAAAGTATCTCTTCAGCTCCTAGAGGTCACAGAGGATGGATGCACCACTAATCTCTGACACTCGCGCTGGGACGGTGGGGGAAATCGACACAAACTGGGGCTTTAGATAACTTTGCTATCCACCAGTGACCTCAAATGCGAAGGCATCTCTGAGCCCGCTGTGCTCTGTCAACCAAATCCTTCTTACTGCTTGGTGAGTTCAGACAGGGAGACGTTGCCTGCCCCACAAGGATAAATCCCAACCAAGAACGGGCTATATATTAATCTGATATTGTCTTTTTATTGTTTGGGGAATAATGCTGTGGAAAGCGATGACTGATCGGAGGGCTTGAGAGACTTTTTTATTGTCAAACTTGTATTTAGAGATGTGTGAATGTTTCTCCAGGGGGTTCGATCACACAAAGCCAAAGAACAAAAGCATCATCTTGCTCAAGTCTTTCCGACTTTAAGAATAAGACCTAAAAACGCGCTAAACCTGTTCGCTGTTTGCACACATTGTAAACGCCGTTGATAGAAGCGACTGATGAGCTGACTTTCGTGCCTTAAACTTCTTCACTTTCTTTTTGGAGCAACATATGACACCGCTTGAACAGCTTTGTGGTAAACATGCAGATTTGTCACCAGCTCATTGAGTATAGTTCACGTCAAATTGAGCCCACAAATGCCTCCAGTAAAGACTCTGGCAGAGGGATAAATAGTGCGCTGAATGTATCTGCCACTGCACCCCAAGAGGGAATATTATCAGGAAGGTTTGTGGTTTCATTGATTTCAAGACTGCAATCATCCCCATCTCATGTAGTGGGCTGAGAGAGGATAAGTGAGGCTGCAGTCAGTGGAACAGCTCCGTTTGACAGTAGGACAAGTTTGAGATGACTTCAGCGATAGCAGTCCACTAAGGAAGTTTCAAGAATTATTTCCTGTAACCAAAGAGTGCCAAATAAAATCCCACTTTTGTTGTAGCAACTGATCACATGAAATAAAATCTGTCCCCTCTTTAGTTTATTGAATTTCCCTCCTCGTGTATTTTTATGAATTGATGCTTTTATTCAGGTTTCAAAAATCCAAGTTTTTGATAATTAGAAAACAGAGTGCATTCAGAGGACGGCCCCGGTACAATACTCTACAATAACACAAATGCAAAACAATCAAAGCACTTCTAATGGCCCTGACTAGATGTTATCTCGCCCAACTTTGTATTGCTGCTTTCAGAAATAAAGTTCAAACCATTAAGCAATTTGCAGCGAGGGGCAGAGCACAGAGAAATAAATTGAATTCACACTTGCTGTGCTTTAAAGTTCTCCTGACAGATGGAGAAGAATTATGCTTGCACCGTTTTACTGAAAGAATAGGTTCAGCGAAAACGAAAGCTCTGCCATATTTGGTTTTCAAAAAGGCTTAATGGATGATGATGTTAACTTCAACGCCCTTTCCTCCTTTTAACCTGCCACGACAGCACGGAGATTTCAAGTAGATATGTGAAAACTAAAATAAAAGAAGGGAGGAAAAATCGATTGTCCTTCTTCATCTTTCATTCATCATGCGTGTATTTAGGTTTTAGGTCAAATCTAATATTGAAAGTAAGCCACAGAAGCCCTCAATTTCTTGTTGCCTTGATATCTTTATGATTATAGCGAGTTTATAAATAGGCTGCATGTCATCCACCGTGAAAACAAACATGATGAATTAATCAGTTGTGCTTTAATGGATATGTATGGAATTGATTCAGACGCTTGCTATGTCTGTGAGCTACGCTGGGCCAGGATTCAATCTAAAACCCTCTGCTGGTAGGATCTTTAGACGTCTCCTCTGGCATTGTTCACATCCATTCTTACCGTTTCTCACTGGCACAAAGAGAAAAGGCTCGAGAGTTTTGTTTTATACAGAAGCTACATTTTTAAATCCAAGTGAAAAAAAAAGAAAGTTACAAAACCTTGGATTGGTGAGCAGTGGAACGTTTAATTTACTGATCTGAAATTTTACAGATATATATTTCCTTTGGGACTCCAACTAAGGTGCTCTACAACTTTCTTTTTCTTTTCATCAATATTAAACCTCATCCTCTGATGCCAAACTAAATGGTGATAAATAATGCATTCGAATTAAAATACAATGTAACACAATGTTTCATGTAACACAAAATTAGGATGTTTTAATCAGAACACAAACATTTTTTAAGTGTTTAAATGTAATCTGTTAAAAAAAAGAACAAGCTGTACAGTTTACCTCTGGAAATTGGATTTCTCAAATGTATTCTTTTAAATGTTTGATTGTCTTGACTATCCTCATGGAACAACATAAAAACAGGAGGATACATGCTAGCTTTTCCAAAATGGCCTTTCCTTAACCAAAATCACATGCATGTGCAGATCCACTTTTAACCACTATAACACACACAAAAGCTTTCTACATCCCAGACAAAAGACCCTGCAAGCAACTTTTCACAGCTAATGAACTTGCGTAACTAACAGTACTGCAGTGACAATATCGCCAGTCAACACAAACAATCAATCGGCTCTGCAGCAATAACACCGAAAGGAAGTGCCTCCAATTTATCTTTATTAAATCAATAGGGATTTGATAGCCTTACCTGCAGTGGTGCGCTTTGCCAAGTGTTGGAGCTGTAAGTGTCTAGAGCATTGGGACAGGGGGAGATCTCTGATTCACTTGTTGTTTGTCGGGTATGGGGTAGTTTGCTGTGTGGCTGGAAGCGACACTCCTAAGGGCCCATTGTGAATAGAGGTCAGGATAATAGACACAGTCACACAACAAAGACTGATAATCCTGTCTCGCCCCACAGCTCCCATGTTGCAATCAGACATTTTAAGGGCAGTTAAGTTGCAGCGAGGGGCGGCTGAATGAACTGCGGTTAGGAAAGACTCCCAAGCTCCCATTATGGACTGTAACCAGTGTCAATTCACAGCAATTAGACCACTCAGATGTGTCAGTAGACAGGCCTCAAATTAATAAATAAATAACGTCAACCACAAGTGCTCGCTGATATAGCCTTTTGAGTCATTTGAGTCTCCCAATGGTCTGTTTCAAAGCAGAACACTTAGTCCTTCAAAAAGTGACGAGGTGTACCTCCTCTTTCCTGAATGACCTTTGAGTGAAAATAGTCCTGACTGAGCAGGCTGCTTAAATCTGCTTCCTCTGCTCATTAGAAACATCTGTTTAAAAAAGACCAAACTCTTTGTGGCGGTTCACTGACGGCCCAAACTGCTGACATCAACAAAAAAGTAAATAAATATAAATAATTAAGAGCTTACTACATGTTATATTTGTGCAGCACATCAGTTAAATCTGATAAAAGCAGTAGCCATAACCCGAAGAACCCGATCCATTGGGGGAGATAATCAATGAAGACACAGAATATATATTTTTATATCCTCCCTAATAATAAAAGTGGGTTATGACACGGACCAAGGTTGTTGCCTTAGGCCTTAGGAAACAACAGCAGCTAAAGACTAGCCTCGGGCTCACCGCTGTATATCCTCTATAAAACAATTTTTTGAGGATCATCACGGTCTGGGGGCACAACCTTTTAGTTAGCCCTGTGTATTTGTGTCACTACTCATTTTTTCTGAAATTAACACACTGTAGGAAAGCGTGGCCACACAATAAATAGCAGTCGACTTACCCTAGCACAAATCAATGCAAAGTAATTCTGAAGATAATAATAATAATAATCAGGTCTCACAGTTAACTTTGCGGGTGTTTCAGCCCAACATTATTTGACAAAACCCCACAAAATACTGTTTTATTTTTAAGTCTCATATTATGCCCCACACAGAACAAAGAACACAGATCTCTCAGCATTTGACTGGGTGCACTCAATCAAGAGGAAATCATTACTTCAGAATAAAGGGTAGCTATGCTTTGCTGGCTGACTTCAACTGAATACCTCACCTTTCAGCAACGCATAAATAATGTGCCAACTGTCTTTGATCTGCTGAAGGTGATAACTTCACAAGCATGGGCATGCTCCACTGATATAACCGCCTCTGCCCTGTCCAAATATGTGTCAAAAAGCATCACTCTTACAGAAATGAACTGATGAGGAAAAAACGAATGAAGCGAGAGCCCAGAAACGATGAGAGCAGACTTTACAAAACCAAAGGAAATAAAATCATGATCACTGTGATTGTGAGGGGGGAAAGAATTATTTTAGATTGAAAAACAAGGTTATTTTTTTGGTTGATTAAAGCACAGATTGTTACATAATTACTTCTATTTATTGTTTGTTGTTTACAATGTCCCAAAACAGTAAAATAACCTTTGTGTCATATAATCACTGCATAATGATAAACCTATAAATACTTGGACATGAAAAGCTACATTTAAAGGATTGTTACCATATGTCTGTTGACACTGATTTATTGAGAACAAATCTATTAATTTCTGAAGTTTTTATTCTTATTTCAGCTTCGTAAAGTTACATCTTAAACTATCAAATTACCAGTGAAGTACCAGTGAAGTCTAGTCCTTGGAAACCAATACCACAGAGCTAATATTTGAACTGAAACTGTGGTTAGGCATCATTTTTTTCCCCATTCAGCCTAAAGGAAATCTCATTAATACTGTTGTCAGCATCTTTTAAGTGGTCATAGTGGACACTTTGGATTGCGGTTCTCCAAGAAATCCCAGAAGCCTGTAAAAGCCCTTTTCTGTGTCAGCGGGGCAGATTGGGTGACTTTTCCTGGACAGTCAGACACCCTGATACAGCTGAAGAAGGGAGAAAAAAACACATAGTAAAGTGAGCACACAAAGCACTCTCCTGAGAGGTCAAAGCGAAGACAAGTGCCCCTTTCAGACAGAAAGAAAAATAAAAGCCCGTGTGACTTCCAACAAGCCTGCTTTATCCAAAGTGCCCAAACTGTGTGAAATGAAGGGTCACCATGTAATAATGGTGATATTAGAAATTGTTATAATTGCCTCTCATTTCCATTTCAGATTTAAGCTGTGAAAATATGTCCAGTAATGGCCTAGCCCTCCAATTTATTTAATCCTTATTCACATGAAATGGCGAGGAACACAGAAACTATTCAACTATGTTTAGCACCATACATTCTATTTTTATATCTCATGACGCGAATACTTAACATTTTAAGTCCACAATGAATGAAGTGCTGAATACTTTGTCCAACGTTTGAGAGCTCTAGTAAAATATCTACAAGAACAAATGCATCTTTAGTTCTCTTTATATTGTAGGGAATGAGGTTGAAAACAGGTTGGGGTTAGCCCGGGGAACTTATTAGCAGAGCCTCCCTGGTGGGTGAACTTCCAGGGAAAAAGGAAGAGAGGCTCTTCCTCAGAGTTGGCTCCAATGCCATGAGCATCCTCTGCTGGTAAAGAAACACTTCAAACAACCGGCCTGAAAAGAAACGCACCAGAGAGGCTCCTTGCTAATTAATACACAACATGCATGAATAACCCATATGAGTGTACTCGCTGTTCAAGCTTATATTATAATCACATCTTACACTGCAGATTACACTAATGAAGACATACATAAAAGAATAGTGTTGCACTCAATATCACGATCTATGCAGATGACAGTGTATAAAACCTTTTTTTTTCTCTACATCAGCAGAGGCTGGGGAAATCACGGTGAGTATGCATGAGCCCGTTACTAATAAGAGTCAGTAAATAAATGACTGACAGCACATCACAGAGTCGGGTAAAAACATTAACAATTATCATTACTCTCATTTTAGCAATAATACTACAGGCAGTAGTCACATTACCAACTGATAGTTATTTATGATATTTAATTCAAAATACTATCAATAAAATGTTATTTTAATATCTCTCTTAATTGGCCGTTATTACTGTTTACTTAACCCTTTAACACAAGTGTGTCATATTTGGTGCATGTGTTTTTGTGTTTTTTGGACCTCCACATCATCAAACTAAATATTAAATATGTAAATATTCATTTCCCCAATTATTTGTTAAGACAATACATCACAAAAAAATCCTGGACGCAGGAAAAATGATACAAATTTAATGATTGAATGATATTTAATTTCTTTTTATTTGTCAGACGGTTCAATAAACAGGCCGGTTAAAAAGAAAGACATTTCTGCTAATTATTTCATTGTTCAAGCTTAATTTAAAAAATGACGTTAAACAGGAAAAAGACGCACATTTTAGTTTTGTACTATACAGTAATTCAATGGATAAAACACGACACATGAACCTGTTATTTTATTTTTTTTTATTTTATGATAAAAAAAAAAGTAAAGCAATAAATTGTCACATTTTATCAGCCTATGCAGGAAAATTTTTTGCATTATTTTCTTAAAATTAATAGAATTTGTTTTTGATGATATTAGTTGCAGTGATGCGGTGTAACTGATATTAGTTGCAGTGCAACTGATATTAGCTCACCCAGCACACATCTGTTCTGGCTCCTTGCACTGCTTTTTGATAATTGTCTGAAAATGATTTCGTTTTTATTTTAATTTTCAATTGTTTGTTTACCCACATCATTAAGATTTTATCACACTATATTTGAGTTGTCCGATAAACCATATTCTTATAATCTAAACATTTTACAGGTTCAAAAAATTTAAAAACCTCATTTCTGAACTCTTATTTCAACAAACAAACATAAAGTTTTCCATTTAAAATGATAAGTGTACAGGTTAAAGAACAGGTTAAACAATGGACACAGAAAACAACCAAAAATGGAAAACTTCACACGTCTCGCAGAGGTTATAACACATCCTGTACTGTATTCCCAGGATCCATGACAGAATTGCTGCCTGAACCATAAAATAGATTGCTGGGCCAAATAAAAAAACACCATGTGGGTACAATAATCACTCATTGTCCACAGATACACAGACTATGGCAGTAATCTTCAGAACTCCTAAGTGGGGAAATACAGATATTTGTAAAAGCACTGAAGGGATTAGGCAGGGTTTTCTACCTCCTGCTGTACATGGACTGAGTCATGCTGAGAACACCAGGAGCTCTGTTGAAGTCCGTTCAGGACGGAAAGGATTTGACCTGCTTGCCGCATTATTCTGATATGACCCAAACAAAAGCCATCAGCATGAGTCCAGGGTAGGGGGTGCACTCTATTTTTGTCTCCTACTCGTTCCTTTTTTTAACATTTTTAACATTTTCTGTTCCGATAATTCAACATTTAATAAGGCAACTTACACAGAGATAACTGGCTGACCTAGTGTTTTTGTTTATTTATTTTATGAATAAATGAAAATTACATGATAAACAGAGCTGAGGTGTTTTTTATTAGATGTCTAGTTCTAATAGACCTAATTTGAAGTAAATATTTTTCTACAAGTCCTTCTTAAAATAAGTTACTAAACCAAAACAGCTTTATTTTGTAATTTTTTATTATCATATTTCTTCTGTTTCAGGCATACAAACATTTTCAGTTTCTATAGAATAGAATAGAATAGAATAGAATAGAATAGAATAGAATAGAATAGAATAGAATAATCCTTTAATTGTCCCTCAAGGGGAAATTTGGTTGTAACAGCAGCCAAAAAGACACATACACAAACAAACAGTACACAGGACACAGAACAGAAACATACACAATTTTTCTTACATATTTACATTAAGGACAGTGGTTACTATATACAGAGTACTGTACAGTAATTAAATAAAATAAAAATAACTACAGATGAGAGGCAAACCAGGTTGTAGTGCGAATCGGTTAATTAACTTATTGCAGTTACAGCATT